CCTACCTCGAACATCTTTGCAACAGCCTAAAAATGCCCTAACAACTACCAGAAAATATTAGCAACTGCCTAGCAACAGATCACTCTAGTAATGTTCATACATTCTCCAATAAATCATAAAAAAATCGCTAGTGACCATTAAAAACACCTTAGCAACTGCCTAGCAATGCTCCAACTACAAATGACCCTAGCAACCATCTAGCAATGCTACTCAACACCCAAACATCTTTGCAACAGTCTAACAATGCCTTAAACAACTGAAAAAAAAAAAAATTTGCAACCATTAGGAATACCTTAGCAAATGACTAGCAATGCTCTAACTAGGGTTGGGTATCGAATTCGATTCTTTTTAGGCACCAACCGAATTGCCTCGATACCACTGAGTATCGAATAATGTCTTGTCGTTCGGTACAACATTTAAATACCTAAGGGGTTAACCTCGTCAAGGTCAGTGAGCCAATAAACATGCAGCATGCTTTATGTGCCTAAATCAGTGATTGGCTCTGGCGAAGCATCAAGGAAAACGTATGTTACGTGGCCATTCATTCTAGTGATGGTAAGTTCGGCTCTTTTCAAAGATTTGGCTCTTTTGGCTCGGCTCCCAAATGGCTCTTTATTTAGTATCACTCTGAGCCTTCTATTTTAACCCAATTTAGCAATTGTGAATGGTTTGTGTGTTGGTAAGCAATTTTTTATTCAGTGTTTTTATAAAAGCCTTATTTTTATGCTTTTTTTCGTTATAAAAAAAATACTACAATAATAAAACTTTAATAATAACACTTTAGTCTTTAGTGCAGGTTGGCATTCATAAATATCAGATGCCTCAGCTTGGATGTGCTGATGCGATTTCTCCTCTCTGTGATTATTTGTCCTGTTTTTGAGAAGACTCTCTCTGAGGGGACCGATGTTGCAACAAATTGCAGTGTCTTCCTACCTTAACCAACGCGCTTGCGTTTAAATCCGGCTCCCCTGTCCCTCTGTCACTCTGTGTACCTGGCCTGTACCACCACACTCGCTATCTTCGGAGCGTGTGTCCCCTTCCTTCTTTTACATGATGGTATGATCCTAGTCTGTCCTCCCATGTGATTATTCATGTGTATTTTTTTTTGTTTTTGTAACGAAAAAATGCATAAAAATAAGACTTTATGAAAACACTAAATAAAAAAAATTGCTTACCAACACACAAACCATTCACAATTGCTAAATTGGTGTAAAACAGAAGGCTTCGGTTGAAGATTCGGCTCTCCCCGACGGGAGTCGGCTCTTCTCGTTCGCTATAAAAAAAATCGGCTCTTAGAGCCGGCTCGTTCGCGAACGACACATCACTAATTAATTCACACTGTAGCATCATGCTACATAAGACAATTTATAAAATTTATACTATGCTTTTACTCAAAACTCACTTTAAACCACCATTGAGTGTTTGTAATAACTTTGATTTTTGAAGATTGCGATCTAATGAGGGTTTTGGTCATATAATGTTGCAGAAATATGTTATTTGTAGTCTTTTATATCAAGCTAATGGCTACACCTGCTTAGCGTTTCTTATGTAAACGCTGTATTGTTATAAAATTGGCAGAATCTCATGAAAATCACATACAAATACTGTCGTAATTGCATGTTTATTAGCTTCATGTTTCATCCCTATAAATGTTTTTCCTCGAAGTGTAACGCACGTTCATTGTCAAAGACAGGGCAAGTTATGAGCACATAATATGAGTCACATATGAACAGCGAATGAGCTTCCTCTGAGTGAGAACTGCGAGAAAACAGGCAGACAGCGCTGGAAGCAGCTAATGCTCATCAGATCGCCTAAATCAGTGGAAAAAGAATAGAAATGATTATTATGTCTAACCTATGCGTTTTAAAACGAAAACGAATTACTGTAAGCATAGCCTAGGGACATAAGCCCTGGGGGCTCGTCTGTCTCCTGAAAAAGCAAAATTTTTTAAGAACATCTGCTGAGTGATTTAAAGATCTTAAGTATGCAGCAGTGAGCCTCACATACTGACTTAAAACTGTTCATTTTGCACTGCAAACTATTTGAACTTTATTAAAACTATGATGAGTCTTTGAGTCTGTAAAAGCCTTAACAAACTGAAAAAAATAGTTCCCCTTCGAGCATTCACTCTACATTGCGAAGATAGTGATGGGAACTCCTCCCCTTCTGAGAAAATCCTGAAACCTTATAGGATAACGCCAGTACAATAAACTGGCCAATTGTCATTTATTATGCAAATCGCATACAAATACTGACAAGCCTGCGGGCAGTATATAATGTGGTGAGAGCGACAATTATCTCTGAATCTTGCTGCTGCCAGCGAGCCGCTGGTGGGCCCTCCCCTCCCCTCCCTCGGGGTGACGGTGACGACTTGGTCCGTGGCTGTCATCGCCCCTGACGCCAGTCCTTTTCACTGAAGAGTGCCTTGGCCGTAAGGCGCTCCTCAACGCTCCGATTACTCCCTCCAGCCTCTTTGGTGATGACTTGGAGTCTGTTATCTAGCGCTTCTCTGAGGCGCAAAAGCGCGCGATGGCAATGAGTCACTTGATGCCTTGGCGTGCGTTCTATCCACCGTTAAGGTCATGTTAACGGTGGTTATGTGACCACTATTGCTTCGTTTTGTTCCCCGGTTGACGGGCAATCAATCGGGAGGCACACGCTGGTGATCAGATTTCTCAGGGGAATGAGGAGATTACATCCCCCACGCCCACTGTCGGTGCTGCCGTGGGACTTAGCGCTGGTTCTGAAAGCTCTCTCTACCCCCTTTCTGTTGTTATGAGGGAGCTCTCCCTAAAAACTGCTCTGCTTATTGCCCTTGATTCGGCTAAGCACATAGGAGATCTGCATGTGCTCTCAGTGAACAGTGATTGTATTTGCTTTGGGCCTGGGGACTGCATTGTTACTCTCCGGCCGAGACCGGTCTACGTGCCAAAATCTCCTTCTATCCCCATTAAAGCACAGGTAATTTCTTTGCCTGCTCCGTCTTCCGAGTCGTCGACCTTGCGTGACACCGAGGCTCAGAGCGCCGTTTGCTCTGTCAGGCCTTTATATTGAACGCGCGGCCATCTTTCGACAGTCTGACCAGCTCTTCGTGTGCTATGGTGGCTGTACTAAGGGACGAACAGTATCTAAGCAGAGGCTTTCTCACTGGATAGTGAACGCTATTCGTGCCGGCTTATGCGAGCCCGGGACATGAATACACACTCAACAACAGAACCCATACGACGAGGGCGAATGCCTCTTCATGGGCCTGGTCTAAAGGCACATCTATTCGAGATATATGCTTTGAAGCTGGCTGGTCCTCACAGAATACTTTCGCCAGGTTTTACAAGTTGGATGTGCCGTCCTTGGCATCTCAAGTGCTTTCGGTAAGTCACTAACCTCACTTATTCTCCTAGTTTATTGCTATCTGCAATTGGGGCACAGTTTGTTACTGCATATAACTGTTGACACTGTGCCAACCTATGTACATTTTTATGTGTGCGCTTTTGTTACGTAAAATGCATGGCGCTTCCTCGCTACTGTTGTTGTGTCTGTCCTGTATTAGTGCAGCTCGTTTATTCTGGCCAGATATGCTAATTTAGTATACCTGAGCTAAGATGCTCATTGGTCTAGCTCCACCCATCAGCTACGGGCTTTCCTTGCAGCATCACTATTGGTTGGAAATTGCATATTCTACCCCATGCTTGGTGTGGTCTTAGCCCTTGGTTCGGGCTGATCTTTTCCGCTCACAGCGGGATTGTATATCGCTCCCATAAAATTGGTATCGGAAAAAAGTATCGTTCAGGAACCGGTATCGAAGTCAAGGTATCGGTATCAATTTTTTTTAACGATACCCAGCCCTAGCTCTAACATCTACTAATGAACCTAGCAACCATCTAGCAAGGCTAACACCCAAAAATGTTTGCAACAGCCTAACAATGCACTAACAACTACCAGAAACCATTAGCAACCACCTAGCAACCAAAAACACCTGCTTAGCAACTGCTTAGCAACACCTTAGCAACAACTCAAAACAACCTAGCAACAGCTTATTAATACCCTAGCAACCACAAAACAATTAAGCAACTGCTTAGCAACACAGTACCTCAGCAACTGCATAACATCCTCAGGTGTCTGGGGGGAAAAAACTTGCAAACAGAAAACCATAGCAACTGCCTAGCAACAAGGTTCCAAACAAGGTTTAGAAAATACTGAGAAAGTTAGCGGCCTATACTTGTCCCTGTACATGTAAGTATTTAAAAACTAATATAAAACTTCAATAACAGCATAGGTCACAGATGGAACGTCCCAGATAATCAATTAGACTTAGATTGAGGTATTTACTGTTACCCCTTTTCCACCAAGGCTGGTTCGGAGCCAGAGCCTAGTTTCAAATCGGTTCTTTGTCTTTCGACAGCCAAAGCACCAGCGTCAGGGGCTGGAGGCGGGGTTACCGTGACCAACAAGATGAACAGAAACTTTTGACCACCATTTTTGAAATAGCAGCTAAACACGAACACGTTGAATTCGCCGTGTTTGGATGCCGATGTAGATTCGCAAAGCCATGAACATCAATATCAATGCAATGTCCACCATTGTTGACTGTGTTTAGGCTTGTTCGGGCTGCATCGGCATTGCGCGGACCGGTCGGTGTGACGCAGGAGTGATTGGAAAGCAGACGACTCTCTTTATGCTTTTGGATCGCTTTCGCGGTGCTTTGGTGTCGTGAGCCGATGCATCTCGAACAAGCCTGTTGTGTTTGGCGCTAGCGTTACTGGGAAAGATGAGATGTATTCAGTGACTTAAGACCTGGCTCTGTGGTGGCTCTCTAGCCCGTGGAAAGGCAAACCGGTTCTTAGAAGGCTCGCCAGTTGAACCAACTCCGAACCAGCAATAGCACTGGCACCAGGTTCATGCTGGTGGAAAAGGGGTATGTGAAGCTAATGCTGACACAAAAACAACAAACATCCTGAAAACACAACGGCTACATGAGATTGCTTGAGTATTTACAGTCTTACCACAGTAATGACCTCCATATCCTTCAGATATGTCCTCTCTGTGGTCAGGAGCTCTTTGGCAATGAAGTACGCTTTATCAGTCGGGAACCTCTGTGAGCAGAAGAAAAAAATAATTAAATTACACTGAATTAAATTAAATTAAATTAAACTAATTACAAATTATGAGGGCATACATTAAATTAAATTAAACATTCAAAAAAGAATGACAGGAGATATTTCTATACTATTAAAGATGCCATGAAATCAAAACAGGATTTTTGTGGCTTTTAATACATTTCAGCAAATATAAGCATTTAAAATCAATCAAATATATTTAAAATATAAGCATTTCTTTTCTGATAAAAAATAATGTAGAAATATAAACATCAAGGGACATTTTAGTCCAAAAATGCTGTTAAATCACGTGCCAACAACTGATAGCAAGTAGCAAACCTGACAAACCAAACTTGACCCTCGCGCACACACACTGCGACACAGTAAAGTAAAACTCTCACTGTTTATTGAGCCGCTCACTCCACCGCTACATAATCTGCCCTAAATAGAATGGAATTTGGGTTGAGTTTATCTAGGTCTCCTATTTTGAGATGTCCACAGAGACACTTGAACAAAATGCAGTGGTACTTCTGATGATAAAACACTTTTAAAGTAGCCTTTCCACTTCTCATTGTAACCTTAATTTGTCTAGAGTGCCTTCAATTCAAGCACAATGTAATTTAAAGAGGAAAATTAGCCAAGGGTCCTTGAAAAAAAAAAGACCGTGCATTTGTTCACGAACTACAATTAATGATGTTGAATTGGCTGACAAAAAACAATGGCAGCCTCCAAATGTAACCTTCTGCCACAACAGCCAATGAATTGAGAAACTGACTAGCCTTAAGTATTTATCAGCAATAAAATACATACAACTAAGTGATAGACATTATATCAGTTAGGCATATTAATTGCTTTAATATTTGGTTATTCTGACATTTTCTGAGTGACTTTTCAGTAAATACTGAGTATTTATTTTTAAATTTTGTATTTATTTTGTTTATTTATTTTTTAATTCATTCATTCCAGGTTGAGTTTATCTAGGTCTCCTAGTTTGAGATGTCCACAGAGACACTTGAACAAAATGCAGTGGTACTTCTGATGATAAAACACTTTTAAAGTAGCCTTTCCACTTCTCATTGTAACCTTAATTTGTCTAGAGTGCCTTCAATTCAAGCACAGTGTAATTTAAAGAGGAAAATTAGCCAAGGGTCCTTGAAAAAAAAAGACTGTGCATTTGTTCACGAACTACAATTAATGATGTTGAATTGGCTGACAAAAAACAATGGCAGCCTCCAAATGTAACCTTCTGCCACAACAGCCAATGAATTGAGAAACTGACTAGCCTTAAGTATTTATCAGCAATAAAATACATACAACTAAGTGATAGACATTATATCAGTTAGGCATATTAATTGCTTTAATATTTGGTTATTCTGACATTTTCTGAGTGACTTTTCAGTAAATACTGAGCATTTATTTTTAAATTTTGTATTTATTTTGTTTATTTATTTTTTAATTCATTCATTCCATGCCAAATCAACAGTAAAAACGGGGTACTACAAATTAAAACAATCGCAATAGCAATAACAATTCGAATAAATAAATAGATAAGAAATAATAAATCATTATATACTTTAATAATATAATAATAAAAGTGACCCATCAAACCAAGTTTTTACTAACACGTGGTGCTATTCTCGAACACTGTTCCCTCCCCCTCCCCCCCTCCTCAAAAGACAAACCTTCCTCCGAACCTCGTCCTCGTCGTCTGTGCGGATGAAGCCAGCGTCGGTCAGTAAGGGGCTGGTGAGAGGAGAAGGCTGCCGTCCATCTGGACTTTGGCCTAGGTTAAGACTAGGTTTCTGGCCGTTCACCATCACTTGGCCTGCAGACGGAGACTCGCTGTGCTGAGGGCTCCTGGAAACGGGACCTACAGGAGAACAGGCAGGTCATGCTAAAGCTTTGACGTAATGCGAATTGGGTTATTAAATGTCAATGGACTAGTTAGACCTACTACATATAGTAAATGCAATCCAGGGTTCAACATGTACATTTTGTAAAACTACCCTGTTGAAAAAAAGCAGCTAACTAGTTACCAGCAAGCATTTTAGATGCTGGTATCACCACTAGAAATCTTCACTAGCAAGACTTCTTGGTCAACAGCTTTAACAAAAACCTTTATTTTACTGGTATACGGCATGGTTTACCAGTAAGACCAGCACCAACCAGCTTGAACTAGCTTGCAAATTCATGTCAGTCTCACTCTTTTCTGCAGGGTAGTTTTGACATTTTATTTCGAGATCATCGCCAAGGGGTAAAGTTGCACGACACACTTTGTGTTTGGAAATGAACTACGGCTGACAGCACCACATCGGGATCCAGACATGAGTGAGTCACACCATCCAAGTCTGGGATTTCTGCCTGAGGACACTGCCGGGATATATAACACATTCCCTGGATGATGAGGAAATCTTCAGACCACTACATTCACTACACAAGTACATTCACATACTTGCCCGAAAACGTTTCGTGTTCCATGCCTTGGCATGAATGGGATGCAACATGCGAACCGGGACATTTCAAATGCACAGTGTCCACAGCGGAGCCATTATTGAGGAAGTTGGAAGAGCCGCAAATCTGGTGACAAAGGCCTTGTGAAGTCACGCACACATACGTTTCGTGTTCCATGCCTTGGCATGAATGGGATGCAACATGCGAACCGGGACATTTCAAATGCACAGAGTGTCCACAGCGGAGCCATTATTGAGGAAGTTGGAAGAGCCGCAAATCTGGTGACAAAGGCCTTGTGAAGTCACGCAAACATGCAGGACAAACAACTAAACGACTACAGCTACTCTACCACGAAACAAGACACACGAGGGGGGGCGCTAACATCTACGGGCTTCGAGTAAACGTCTGGAGCCCCGCTTCACAAGTACCAAGTTTTATTGCTAATAATACACATTAATTTACAATGTTAAAGTGTTCCAGAATGAATAAGACCAAAGGTTTGGAGTAGTAAAAAAACAACAACAGACATCAATCGTACAAAACCTGTGAACAGGCATCGAGAAAGTTAACAACCTTGAGACTTCAGAAAATCCATTTAAAAGTGCTACAGGGCTGCAACAGAGAGGAAGAGTTAAAAACGTGTACTAAGGCTCATGGGCATGACCCTTCCATTGCTTACCTGGTTATTTAATCTAGTACAGTCTACGTCAGGCAGATTGTAAACATATTACAATTATGGTTAATCGTTTTGCATATGTGCCACAGTGATTGCCTTGTTAATTATGAGTATTTTAAAAAAGTACAGTTACAATATATTACACAAATATATCTAGAACTTTTCGGATACCTCAGCAACGTACATTTTATGAAATAATCAGGAGATCACAGCTTGACAAGAGTGAATCATTCAATACTGCTACAGTATTCTCGTGATAAAACCTGCAGAGAAGTTAAATCACATTTTAGTGTAATTTACAAAAACCTATGAACGCTACCTTGGCCACTGACTTTTTGAAATTACAGATCACTGGGAACGCTAGGTAGGTAGAATTATTTACAATCATATAAACAGTGGCATAAACTGACACTTTCCAAAAAATATTGTCAAATTTTATGTAACAGACCCAAAAACTGCAGTGGTCTTGCGAACGGCTTTGCGAACACTTTCCAAATCCTTTCACTGACATAGGATTGCCATGCAAAAGTTAAGAATATTTCTCAAAAGGAAAAAAGTTGGCTTTTGGAAAATAAACAAATGCTTTAAAAGATTATATCACAAATGCATTTCCTAGTGAGTCAGAATGCAATAACACATATGCAAAAAACGAGAGCATGGAAGTGCGAAAACGTCTGGATAAAAGATTGAACATAAGTTTAAAGTACTTTTTAGGACATCCCTTTGAAACCTTCCTTATCTTTTTAGACTTCACATGCTAAGCCTCAAAACAAGTTTCTTACTCACAGTCTGTCCAAATCTCACCTACATCCATCTCCACTTCAAAAGACTACTGCATTTTAAGGGTCCCATGTCAATGCAAAGTCTTTTACACATCTGAAAAGGACAGGGCAGCAAAATGCTGAGACAAGGACAGGTTGATATGCTTCCAAGAGAGAGGGAAAAAAGACAAGTTGAGGCATTCCAGAGATACATGCTGCTAGAACAGTGATGACACTGGGCAGGAGAGATCTTAAAAGCAATGCAACCTGAGCACAGGTTAATATACTTACAAATCAAAAGTACATCAAGCATTGCAAACGCACCGCAAACAGATGACATTGATGAGGCGTGCCAGAGATACAGTGGTTTTAAGAAAGAAGAAATTAAGCAGCAAAGCAAAACAAAACAAAATAAGATCTTTATAATGTTATATTTTTTAAAAGGAGTGATGCATGCTGGGAAATGGGCAAGCAAACATGACAATGCCACCAGACTGGCACCCCATGTAGAAACACCAAAGATAAAGAACTTGGAACTTCAACCAGTTTGGGGAAAAATATATAATAATATAAATAACAAAGCTAGCATGAAGCCATCATGGTTGAAAATCTTTAACATGCATGATAAAATGCTAAACCATTTACTGTTGCTTATCTCATGTTATGTCAACACAGTCTTTTATTTTATCTGATATACCGTCCAACACATCCTACCAGTATAATCTGTTTTTATGACAACACAAACTTATAGTTCAACTTTAGACACAATTTATTCATCAGAATCTAGAAGAACTTTAAACTAGCTCTGACAAAACGTCAATGCCACACAGCAGAGACACCCTCAAAACTTTCATATCTTGAACATATTGCTATTGCATAAAGAAATTATCTCTGACATTAGATTCTGTAAGCTATGGCTATGGCTAACAGAAAGAGAGTAAAGGCATGACATCTTTCGGTATATTTTTGTAATTCTTTGTTTCTACAAGAATGATAAAGAATTCTTCCGCAACGTTTGGCAATACTCAATGACTAATCAATTAGTTAGCAGTACTATGGGTAACCTTAATTTGCAATTGTAATTAGATTTCATTCTCTACATTTACAGACACGGCACTTTGCAGTAGGACCTTCAACTCCTCATCAATCTAAAGTTAATCTTCTAAGAGCAATAGTTATGAATTGTGCATATTTGAAATAATCAAGTATTTCCTCAGGCAGAACACATTCTTCTTTCTAAACCCTCCAAATATTGCAAAAATACCATCATCGCTAACCTTGTTAATCTTGTAATGTGTAATCTTTGCCACTAGTGCCACCAAGTGTAATTCTCCAACACTGCCCGTATCTGCCAAAACAGATAGTCACGCCCCAAATTGCGATTGGTTAATGCTATGTCAGATCATGCCATGTCCATTTGGTGCCACTGATGGCACAAAAACTACACAACACACCTTAAAGTACCTTGACTGGGCCTTCAAGTGGCAAAATGGATGTATAGTCAAACAGTAACCAGGCACACTTCATCTTATCTAGCAGTTCATCACTGATGGGATAACTGTAGCCATCTTCTCTGTATAGTCAACCAGTAACCAGGCACGCTTCATCTTATCTAGCAGTTGAAGAATTGTGCACCATCTTCATCACTGATGGGATAACTGTAGCCATCTTCTCCCCTTTGACCCTCATCCTCCAGTTGGAGACTGCCAAATGAGAACTTGCTTTGGGGCATAGGGGAGGAATTAACCACCCCAGGGTTTCCAAAGACTAGGGGCTGACTGTAAGAGTTGTTGCCTGCATCTGACTCGGTATCACTAGACTCCATTCCACTACTAGTGGAACCATCAATCATATGGACTGGGCTATTGTGGTCATTAGCACTGAGACGGCTTCCATACAGTCTCTGGACATTGCTGGATCGAGCTTGGCTAGATGTTCCAAGCCCGTCAGCAGCCACACGGCGTTCAAGGGCGGCCATACGTTCAGCTCTTGAGAGCACTGATCGGGGTTCATTAGCTGGGGTTGAACCTAACTGGCTTAAAATCATGGGATTGGTGTCGGAACGGTTACGCATGCCATTATGGAGTTTCTGCAAGTGTAGGGATCGACTGACAATTGGGGAGTAGCTCCCATAATGTTGAGGCTCACTCCCAGATCGACCATTGGTAAAGTCTGAGACGGCTTCCATACAGTCTCTGGACATTGCTGGATCGAGCTTGGCTAGATGTTCCAAGCCCGTCAGCAGCCACACGGCGTTCAAGGGCGGCCATACGTTCAGCTCTTGAGAGCACTGATCGGGGTTCATTAGCTGGGGTTGAACCTAACTGGTTCAAAATCATGGGATTGGTGTCGGAACGGTTACGCATGCCATTATGGAGTTTCTGCAAGTGTGGGGATCGACTGACAATTGGGGAGTAGCTCCCATAATGTTGAGGCTCACTCCCAGATCGACCATTGGTAAGGTAATGGTTACCGTCATCCCGACAGCGACGACTGCTATAGCCGATCTGCTCTGGATGATTCAGGGAGTTGGTTTTGTGAAAACTGCTCATCACCGGACTACAGTTTGCACTTCGGGAACCAACTAATGGACCGGAAGGTGACACCAGACCACGTCTATCCATACCTTGAAACAATTCATCCACCAAGGTACTACTCAGGGGTAAAGCACGTGGTGATCCATTACCACAAAACGACCCATTAGACAATTGACTACCGTTAAAGGTATCTGAACTCTGACCCAACCAATGGCTGGTCAAAGAAGACACCCTAAATCTAGACTTGCTTGCCCCTTGTCCATTGTGCTGACTATTTCCATAACCATTACTCTTGCCTGCTGTATGGCTGGGTGGCTCAACCTCATCATTGTCATGTGTCTGGGAGTGAGACCTAGTGAAACGGCCTTTGACCACATCATATTCGCTATCTATGTCACTGCAGTCGATGTAAGGTATCGAGGAGCTGCTACCCTTAGCAGCATGCAATGCTAGACCTGTGCTCAGATGCTCGGCCTGCTGCTTGGATGGGGATGGCTTTAATCGAGTATCCGCCTCATCAGGGGTCCCATTTCGGCATCTATTGGTAAAGGTATCTGAACTCTGACCCAACCAATGGCTGGTCAAAGAAGACTCCCTAAATCTAGACTTGTTTGCCCCTTGTCCATTGTGCTGACTATTTCCATAACCATTACTCTTGCCTGCTGTATGGCTGGGTGGCTCAACCTCATCATTGTCATGTGTCTGGGAGTGAGACCTAGTGAAACGGCCTTTGACCACATCATATTCGCTATCTATGTCACTGCAGTCGATGTAAGGTATCGAGGAGCTGCTACCCTTAGCAGTATGCGATGCTAGACCTGTGCTCAGATGCCCGGCCTGCTGCTTGGATGGGGATGGCTTTAATCGAGTATCCGCCTCATCAGGGGTCCCATTTCGGCATCTATTGGTCTGTGAGGTTAGACTCTCAGTGTAACGCTGGAGAGCTGGGTTTTCAACAGTCACTTGGGTGCGCCCAATAGGTGAGTCCATCTGATGTCCTGAAGCACTGGCATTCCTCTGCAAAATGTAGAATGCAAGAGATGGTGGAAGGTAGAGGATGAGATGCATATATTGACCACTCCTAACACAGGTAATTTAAAGTCAACAAGAAATCACATTTGCAAGCCATTTTACATTGATGTTCTGTCTCAGAACAGAAGTGGACCAAGTTACCAGAGATAAAGTTATTACATTTTTATTACATTTTTGAATCATCAGGAACACTGATGATTCATTCACAATAGGAACAGGAATGTGTATTAAGAAAGTAATTGGGGTCGATTTTGATGTTGACTTGCATAATATGGGATTATTTTAAAGCACTCCTACTGTGTTTGTACACTAAAATACATTACACTCACCTCTCCTTGACCCTCGGCACACAGCCTGGGTGGGGATGGAGAAAGACTGCTGTTGTACTGGATTTTACTGTGTTTTCTAAGGATGGAAGATTGGAAATTATTAGTAATGAGTTTTTTCCAAAGGGCATCTCCACACTCGGTTCAAAAGCGGACTTATTTCCACTCAGCTGCTTTATGGGTGTTGCCTGATTGGATTATTGTATGATAAGGAAAAGGCACTGACTACTGTTCATTGACTAGAATGATACTGCTAGAAAACAACACTAAATTTTTACATCCAGTGATTAAACACCTTGATGCTATGTGATGTGATTTACAATATTTCTAGGTGAATTATAGTGTATTTTGGGTAATTTCTAGGCCATTTCTTGTTGGTTTCTAGGGTGCTTTGGGGGTTTTTTAGGGGGCATTGCTAGGTGGTTTCTAGTAGTGGTCGACCGATATATCAGCTGATATTTGGCATTTTTCAAATATCAGCATCAGCCAATAAGTTTTTCTGTTTGGTCGATGTGTTTGACTTATTTTGACGGCGTGCCAGAGTGACGGCGCTGAGAATGGCAATGCCTGAGCACACAGCTTCACATTCTCCCTCTTCATTGTTTGCTGTCATCATTTAACAGTTCTTTCCAATACAGATAGAAGTCCGTCTAATAATCAGATAGAACTGTTAAACAAAGGAATTAAAAGATATACAAAAAAGTATTATAACGATTGCTTTTACATTAATAGTACTAGAAAGGCAAGCATTATAATACTTTCCCGTTTACTGTGAGCATTCAGCAAATACGTATTTATATCATTTAAACAAATCAACATTTAATTTCACAAACCTTGCAGACTTAGTCTAATTCAGCTGTGAGATCTTGTGTGAAAAGTGTGCATTTGTATCCTGCATGATCACGTGTATTCTGTGTGAAAGTTGGTCCATGCGAACTGAATCAATCGGCAACCTTTGAACACCTTATTTCAAACTATGCTCATTTGCCCACTGTCATATTCATGTCATTTTCACTGTGTGCTGTATGTAAAATTAGCGTTACCTTGGCTTTATTTGAAAAAAAATTAATAATAATTCCCGGTGCACACAAACTTCCCAGATTACCAAGTGCCCTGTTGGTTACAGTGTTTGCTTCCCTTTTTATTTATATATTTTTTTAATATTTCTTTATTTTTGAAAAATATTGTAATAGGATTACAGAATCAAGTTGTCGTCTGAAGTATAAGTATGTTTATTTGACATTTATTTTCCAGGATTTTCGTGGGTCCTTAAAAAGTCTTAAATTTAACATTTAAGGCCATAAAAAGTCTTAAATGGTACAAGAAAGTCTTAATTATGATTTCAAGAGGTCTTAAATTTGAGGACGGAAAGAGAAGAATTGTGATGATTAAACTTAAATAGGCGATGATTTCATTGAATAAATATGAGTGCTGCACATTTCAAAGTCAGGTTCGGCACTGATTTGTGTACTGCGGTTACAGGGAGATTGAGGTTTCTGCAGAGCAAAAGTGGGCGTTTCTGACGTTGAGGGTGTTTTCAAATTGATGGCCGTTTCTAAATGATGCAATGAAAATGGTCCCCCTTACCTAATCCCACCCCTAAACCAACCGTCACTATGACGTGAGCCAATAAGGTAACATGGTCGAAAATGCCCCGATCTGGTAACGCCCATTACTTTCCTGCAGAGACCTTTTATTGGTTACGGGGGAAACCGCTATATTTTGCTGTTCCGAAAGCGACACCAGCTGGCAGTGGCAGAGAATGTGCATTTTCAAATCTGCTGTTTTTGTTCAGACCATTGCGACAATCGACCCATATTTTTACACAGCAAATACACAGTTGTAAATGTGAAGCCTTGGATCTATTAATATATATGTTATTTAATTAATATAATAATTGATTGATAATAATTGTTTAAATTAATACAATAATTCATACTTTTTACTTTTCTTAAAATTTGTATAAAGGCTGAAATGTTAAGTTTATCATTTTATAAAACTTTTTGTTTTTGTGAATATCTGTATCTGATCTGTAAATCATGCTTTTTACAGTCATTTTAGTTTAATATGCCCTATCACGCTCGTATGGTAATAATTTTATTTGTGCAGGTCTAAAAAAGGTCTTAAAAAGTCTTACATTTGTTTTTAAAAATCCTGCAGCTAACCCTATTCTTTAAATTCATTTTCAAATTATTTCAAATTTCTTGAATATTAAAATAATTTCTAGGGACTTCTTGGTAGTTTCTAGGGCATTAGTGTTTTTTAGGATGTGGCATATGACATATTTCACCATACTTCACCTCCATAGTGAAAATGCTTAATGGAGAATGGAATGCACTGTGGATAAATCATATCTGGATATTATTCAGATAAAACAGTCATGAAGTGGTGTATAAATGGGGTGTGATGTTTAAGAATGCAAAATTTGATTGATCTCAATAAAGGTTACTAGGAAATAGATAACTGTGCTCATACTTCAAATTTTCTTTCTCACTGGTGTGTTAAATGTTTTGGAGGGAAATGAAATGCAGCAGAAAGGTAGTGACATTTAGACAAAGGTCAACAAGAAAACTCACCTTTCAAATGGAACCTTTTTGAATTCAGTGTCCTTTACATAATCAATCACCTGCCTTTGTGTGCGGCCGCTGATGAGATAAAACAAGACAGATGACAGAGCGGTTTAGAAACAAAGAGAGAAGCACAAAATGTGTACATCAAAACATTAACCATCTGGCAAGAACCGAGACCTACTTGCACTGTGATTTTTCAGCAAATAAATACCTGCAGAATATACGCTGAGCCAGAGAAAGAAGTTAACAAGGTAAGAAGTCTCTAACATGTACCTTAATGGTAACTTTCATTTCTGGTGATGGAGAAGAAGTTCTTTTAAGACAACTGTATCTGCACAATTTGTTACCTGAACCTGAAGGAGGAACCCCTGGTAAACAAAACTGGTTTGGGCTTGGGTTTGGGCTCTTCAAACAGACGGAAAAAGGCATGGTACTCCACACAAATCTTCCAAAACACCTTGCAGCAGTCCCTGCTTCCCATCATGAACTCCAGAGTATCCTGACAGCTACTCTGCTATGAGAGAAGAAACAGAAGATTTTGTCTTTTTAATGTTCCCATCGAAACACCTAAACTACATGGAAAATGGACAGAAAATGATTTAAGCAAGCACCAAAAGTTATTTGTGAACCCAGCCCTCGGGTAAAGAAATAGCTTTAAGTAGAGACATTCGGATATTGTTATAAAACAATCAAAGGAGAACTTACATTTAAGTCAGGTCGCAGTTTTATGAGAAAGCGCTTCCTTTTGAAGCTCAGCTTGCGGACTTTAGACCAGTTGAAAGCATTTATTTTGGTGTGTCCCTTTAGAAGTCAGACATAGAAGTGCATTTAAGGACAATTTAAGGCAATAAAAACATATTCCATATAAGAAAGAGAACGCTTTGTTCTAGGATAAATCTCATACAGCCACAATGGATAAAACTCTAAATAGTTTGATGTATTATTTGGAAAGACACTTGAAACTTACCTGAAAGACCAGTACACCAGAATGCGCCACGGCGAGGCTGAGCTTCGTACCCTCGCGATCTTTTGCGGGATAAAGACGCACTCCGTACATCTCAAGTCTTCGTGCAATCTCCAAAAGCTGGTAGTCCGACTCAGCTGGTGTTTGCCCGCTGTGGAAGGGTTAAAATATAGAAAATTAAGCCTTTTTGTACAAAACATCTGTTTGTGTGAAGACACTCTACAAGTTTGTAAGACTGATAAGTAATAAGCTTAATAATCACGACCACAAAAGGAATATATCAGAATCAACATGCAAGAACAGAACTTTTATAATTGTTTGTAATTGCTGATGAAATCTGTACACTGATAAATATTAAACAGTTTCCTGGCACCTTCTAAATTAAAAATGGTCTGAACTTTAAATGTCAAAGTGATCTACAAATTGTACATGGCGACCAACTCCCTGAACACTATGTTTAATTAGCAAATCTCTAAACAGCTCTATTTTACTAAATAAGAAGCTCCTGGTGTGGAAATAAACAGCCCACTGATCATTTATTGCTGAGGAAGTGATATAAGCTTTCAGCTGGACCATATTGCATATGAAATACAAGTATCCTTTAAACCAAATAACTGGTTTAATATTACTTTGAGTCATGACGTTACACTCACACGTGTTTCCGATCGTATTCAATGATCTTGTCCATCAGTGCATCCTGCTCGGGAATGTACTTGTTGTTGAGTAGATGTTGTTTGCACTGCACTTCATCAAAGTCTCCGATCTCAGCTGTAACCATAGAAACAGAGATTATCTATTATATGCATCTATTATATGAATATAATACTATGCAAGAGGAAAGTACATTTAAAGGGTTAGTTCAGCCAAAAATGAAAATTAGGCTGCGTTTTACTCACCCCCGATGCATCCTAGGTGTATATGACTT